AGCTCAGGCTGCTGATGTTTAGGAACCAATGCTCAGAAAGTACTTCACAGTTCTATGAAACAGCCTTTGGGGAGGGCAAATGGAAAAAGTTCCTCCCTAGTATAGTTAGAGATTAAATAGGAGGATCTATCAGATAAGGACAGACAATACATTTGGGCCATTTTAACTAACTAGAACAAATTTAAAAATGATAAAAAAGAGATTCATTAGTGTAATCAGTTAGGAAATTATAAATACTACAAAAAATACCCTACTAACTGTAATATACTCACTTCCAAGACACAGAACTGCAAGCTTCATATACTCAATTATGGTAAGTTACACATGTGCTCAAAAATATAAAGTCCCATATGGGTTTAATTTTAATCAGTCACCCTGGGCTATTTTGGTGCACTGTACCTAGTGCACTGTACCTTCTTGGACAAGCCCCCATTCCAGCTTATCAGTGGAAGAACTAAATTTAGCTCAGCCCATTAACTGGACAGTCATCATTTGTATGGCCCCTTTCAGCAGAAACTCTGGGTCCAGTACAGTTCAAACTTCAGATACCAGTGCTTCTTTTCCTCGGGAATTATAACATGCTTTATTGCTGTGGCTTATTAGGACAAGGAGAATTCATTCTTCACTAACCTCTAGCCAGAATGAAAAATTCTCCTTTGGATCACTCAACAGGAAATTAATTGGGGCCGGTTCCCATTCTAATTACTGTTGTGGCTTCATATGAAGCTAAAGATACTGAGCAGCTGTTTAATATATGCAGGAGTCCTTCACCAAATGCAGACATTTTTTAAGAATGATTTTGCTTCCTTGGGATGTTCTTCTATTAGGCAAAGACATTCTCAGGCTGTGTTCCTTCTGCCTTGGCTCCAAGACTAGAATGTGCCTATCCCTCAACTGGGATAAGGGGTCAAATACTTTCTTTTGCCTAACTTATACATAAGTCTTCACCTCCATCCATGCCACAGCTTCTCCTTCAACATCACACTAAGGCTTTCAAAACCAGATTATTTTACACTCACACTGCACAGGCACTTCTAAGAGTTCATGAATAAAGGGATCAAGCCATAACAAAGTCATTGCAGTCTGATTAGAGTTAACAGTGAAATGTGTAATATACAGAAAAAGTTTAAAAATAAAATTAAATACTTCAAAACCTCTACAAATTCTGTATATAGAAGAAAGATCTCTCCAGCTTAGGAGTAACATAAAATACTGACAAAATAAATAGGCTTCCACTTTTTTTCCCCCCCACTCAAACATCATATACAAGCACCTTTCATATGTTGAACCAGATAGTTAATATAAAAACCATATAAAAGCTCAAAATTCAGGGAGTGGGAATGTGGTGCATGGCTCAGTGGTAGAGCAATTGCTCAGCACATACTAGGTCCTGGTTCATCCCCATCACCACAAAAAAGAACGAAAGAAAAAATTTTTAAAACCCTATGCATGAACTTAAATCTCAATTCATTAGTTTCACTATTTTTGGTGCTACTGAATAATGTATGGTTTATATTTTTTGTTTTCATGGGTTTTTTTCTTCTATTCAAACTGAAATATTTGCTTTTGGTTTCCCAAAATAGAATTAATGAGATTTTTTGGAAATTCTATTTTTAGATTTGGGAGGAGATGGTTCAGAATCAGTTGTACTCAGAATAATAGACGCTACATTCACTGATTCTGGTTGACCAGGTTCCAGTGACACTTGAATAACAATTTTTGTTTCAGGAGGCAATCCTTCTAGTTGCTTAGGCTTCTTAAACATTTGATGACATTGGGTCTT